CTCTCTCTCTCTCTCTCTCTCTCTCTCTCTCTTGCGCACACGCGCGCACCACCACCAACAAAGTGAAGATTTGGACGATGAATGCCTGTCTCTCTCCTCCATTTGGAGTATGTAGCTGTCGCTGCCAGGCAACAGGTAAGCTTCCTCCTCCTTGCTAACCCATCTACAGTGGTTAACCCCTCCTACCATCTCCACCACAGACCTTTCTCCGTACGGTGCCATACCTATACGCTTCTGAACCATCACCTCTCAGTCTTGGATGAAGAATGATGAACACGTGGGACCACTGGGCTCCTCTGCACAGCTATGGATGGACACTCCAGGTAGGCACCCTCCAGATAAGCTCTCTCTTGCCCCAAGCCTTGGACTCTACCTCATATCTCTCCTCTTCTCTCACTCTCATCTGTGGTGCATCAGCACCTCCTCCTGGCTATGGTTACCACCCTCTCCCTCTCTCTCTCTCATTCTAGCTTTGGCAGCCTCAGATTCTCCGTGCCTGCCTTCTTCGCTCCGCAGTGCTAGAGAACGGGCTCCCAGCAGCACTCGAACGCGTGCAAGGCAGAACGAATCCTCGAGCTGGGGCAGGCCGAAATTTCTCTTTTGTGTGTTCTCTTCGCCTGGCCTGCCTCAGGTTGCCTCCTCGGATGGCTGAGCTTTTTATTTCTGAACACCCAAGAACTTGTCGAGGCCAGCGTGTGCCTTCGCCCGGTGTCACTGAGCTCTGGGAGCTTCTGGAAACTGTATTCAGCCTTTGGATTGTGTTCGACCTGTGGCCGTGGTTGACGCTTTGACTTTTCACACCCGCGTTGAGCCTGCCTGTTAATTTTCTTAGGGCCTACTTTGACTTTGAGCCTGCCCCTGTTAATTTTCTTAGGGCCTACTTTGACTTTGAGCCTGCCTGTTAATTTTCTTAGGGCCTACTTTGACTTCTAGAGGCCCTGGGCAGCTCCATTTGACCCTTGACTCCACGCCTACCAACCCAGCAAGGGCTTTTAGAGCCTTTCTCACAGGCTGTAGGCCTGACTTTTGGCGCCCGCACTTGGCTTGTTGAAAAGCTATGAGCCTTATGACCCTTGGATGTTTTTTGCAATGCTGGTTCTATCCCATTCTATGCTGGTTCTACCCCATTCTATAGTTCTGGACGGGTTTTCCTTAGACTGTATTCCAAAGGCCGTTGACTCAGACACCAGGTTGACTCAGACATCAGGTACATGTTTCTGTCCTGGGTTCCCCAACCTGGGTCACCGCAGAAGATTTTATATGATCCTAAATTATCAGCTTGGATGCCGATTGGCCGCTGATGATCTTCACTAAGTTCACTCTCCTTCGATCTGACGATACCATCGGACGCATTGTGTCAGAGTTTTGAAGGCTCTTCCCGGAACGACTGATAGAACGACTGCGTACAGCCATGGTGCATCGAAACGCATGGTCATTATCACCGCATCTAGACTGAAAGTTGCCCCAAATACAGCTCCAGTGCTAGATGAAGCTTTTGTTGTTGTTTGTTTTTTCGATTTTCTGGCGGTGGTAACCAGGCGAATAAAAGACACCATCAGCTCAGGCTGAGAAGAATGCATCAAGAAAGTGTCTGCATCCTTAAAATGAAGGAAGAATAGCGCAGAGCTTCCACACACATTTACATGCCAATGGTCCCATCTCCCCTTCTCTCCGCATCCCGGGAGCTTTACCCCTTCTCCCCATCCTGGGAGCTTGACCCCTTCTCCCCCCCACCTTTCACCCACCTACCCCCAGCAACCCTCTCACCCATCTGCTCTTGCCTGAGTGATGTCCATCCCACTCTGCTCACCATCTCCATCACCTGCTTGAGTGGGCCCGCTTCCCTTGTGGTTCCGCTCCAATTCCCCGATTAAGCTGTTCCTAAGCGGCCTCCAACGGGTCACTGACTTCGACTTTACTGGCGATGTCCTCCAGTAGGGGTAGAATAGCGCCTTCTCCTTTCATCATGCTTGGGCGATTGCGTCCATCCAGACTTGAACAGCGCAGCCCCAACTGTGCCACCTGCAGCGCCAGATCAACGTCCCAATCTCCTGCCTTTGTGTCGAGCGCACTTGGAAAAGTTGAAGCATCTTCCAGGGCATTTTCTATGGTTCTCACTGCGTCAGTGAAGTTTCCGGAAAGGATCTCGAGAACGGTGACGCCAAACGAATAAATGTCAGTTTTCTGGTCAGACAAGGTACCATTACTCTGGCAAAATTCTGGTGCCAGGTATTGCAGACCGGTAGTTCCTGCAGACATACACATTTTTGGAGCTCGCTCTGGTGCAAGCAAGGCCGCGTCAACCTCACCAATTTTAGCGACAAAGTTGGCGTCCAGAAGGATGTTCTCTGGGTTGATGCCACGGTGGATGATCGGACCACCGGCCACCGACTGATTGGAGTGGAGAAAGAACAAGGCATGCGCGACCTGCGCAATCACTCGCAGACGCACATCCCACGACAGGGATTTCCTTGTCGACCCCCCCTTTGCACAGGAGATGATGCTGTCTTTGACGCTTCCATTGGCCATGTGCTCGTACACCAAACAGTTGTTCGCGTAGCACACACCCAGAAATGTCTGCAAGTGTGGGTGACGAAGGGACGTCAACCGATTCATCATCTCCCTCGTCAACTTGGCATCCTGATTGCATGACATCTTATTACCAACCTTGAGCTGCTTTATCATAACAGCTGCGATCTTCCCCACATAAAAAACTCCATGACGTCGTTCCTCAAGCTTACAGCTATCATCAAAGCTGTTGGTTGCAGCCTGCAGTTCCTCAGCGGCGAACTCCCAGAATTGATCCACATGATCTTTTTGGTTCGGAGCAGCTCGCAGACCAAGAGACTTCTCTGACGTATCCCGCGCACTGCGATACCTTTCAAATCTGCATTCCAAATCTTGAACATCCACTTTTGATTCCTTGTACCTCTCTTCCAATGCCCTCTTCTCCTCCATTAGATTGTTTAGCCTGGCATTTAGCTGCTGAATCTCGGCCTTCGATTTTTCCAACGCTTCATTCAATGTCATGTTCTCCACCGTCATCTGACGTACCTTACTTCCCCTACCAGTAGCCAGGAGTTGCTTTGTTGTCTCTGCATGCATTTGGTCGTTTCTTTTCTTCTCTGACTCACATTGTTCACATCTCGCTTTCAGTGCCTGCTCCTTCTCCACCAGATCGCTAACCTCTCTCTCAAGCTTCTCTATCCTCTCTGCTTGGATTTGTTCCTGGCTTCCATGCTGTGATTGGGACTGATCACATCCCTTTTTCAATGCCTTCCCAGTGTGAGTCAGCTTGCTGACCCTCTCTCCATCCATGATCTGGTCTTCTCTGCAGTTTGACTGAGAGCGCACAAACCTCCGTGCCAGCATTGGGATCGGGATCGCTTCCAATCCATCGCTTTCATCAGCTTCGCTATGGTTTTCGTCGTATTCTGAATCAGAATGCTCAGATGCCTCACCCAGCACCTTTGCTGTTTCTCTCAAGCTGAACCCATCGATCTCAACTGGTTGGATCCCTTCGCCATCCATTCGCACTTGAGTCTTTTCATGCTTTGGCCCTGAGGGTGCCGCCCTCGCTAGTGTCAGATCAATTATGCCTGCCGCAAGTGACCGTATCTTTTTGACCGACGTGCCCCATTTTCGCTTGTGCACTACTGCAGTGTCTTCAGTGCCTTGCTCTGATGGTCTTTCGATCTTTACTTTCTTCGCAGGATGTGGATCAGGTTCATACGCCTCGATGATAAGGAATGTTCCTTTCCCTCCAATGACGAACCGATTGGAGTCTTTATAGGGAGCCATGCTGTGCAGCCTTCTCACGCCGATGGGATGACCGCACTCTAGCTTGTAGTCTGACTTGCTGTAAACTTTGATGGTTCCGTCGTCTGATGCACACATTATATACGGCTGCAGCGGATGGAACCGGGCTATTACTTTAACCCATCTTTGATCGACTTCGAACGTGAAAACCCATTCTCTCTTCTTGTAATCCCACACCTGTACTTGTCCCACATCGTTACCTGCGATCAGAAGTGACTCTTGTTCATTGCTGCAGAACTCCAAAGAAGTACATTTCTGTGCCGCTGCCTTCCGTCTGGCTTGGTCGGTACGGAGAACGGACCATTCTCCGTGGTCGTGCAGTTCTATTTCCCCACCCCGTCGGCCCATTGCAAAAAGTCGCGATTCCAAAGGATGAAATGACAGCTGGGTTATATCAGGGTGACCCTTAAACTCTGTTGTGCTACAATTGTTCTCCACATCCACCATGTAAATTGAGGACTCTCCAGCTGTCAGAATATACCGTGAACTGTTATCGACCGCCAACGCGGGTAACGGGCGATATCTTACCTCTCGTAAAGTGCATGATGGACGCTCAATTTTTACGTATCTTTTTTTTTGAAATGACCACCTCCCAAGGTCTGAGCTCCGCATAATCATTTCATTAATCTCAATGCTGTAACCCTTCTCTGTATAATAAGCAATGGCAACCCAGTCTTTCCTGCCTAAGAATCTTGCGACCAAATATTTTGTACGTTCATCACTGGTCTTACTGGCCACCTGCTGGCAGGCCGAGCGTTTGAAATTCCACACTTGGAGCAATCGGTAATCGCGTATGAAAACGAGCAATCTCTTCGTCGGATGGACATCGATGTCAAGGTCGCAGTCCCCTAAATTTTTCTCCTGACTTTTCGGTCTCAGCTCAAGCGGCCCTCGTCCCCCCTTATTACAGTTTGACGACATGGTTGGCAGTCCGCCTTGGTGTTTGATTGCGCTCAATGCCAGTTGGTTTCACTCTTTGATGATTGTCAATGATTGATTGATTGATTGATTGTGCTGAGTGTTCACTTCACACTGGCGCATCACAGGAGACGGTGCAAAGCGACGACTCCCCTTACGATTTGAAGAAGCGCTCCAATTGCAAAATTTAATTAATTACATTGTGTGGGAAATGAAGAAGATAAGTTGTCGATGAAAAGTTCTCACCCCGTGTGTGGCAGTATCAAGTCCTCTTTTGTGGCAGTATCCAGTCCTCGTGGCAAAAGAGGGAGGAGGCATTCAAATTTCAAAGGCTGTAAAAGTAAGAGGCCTCCAGAGTCTGATTGTGGCATCTGTCTGGCACGAGACGAGGTGAGCGTTCATCTTCTCTTGTGTGATAACTTCACAAGTAGTAAGTTGACGAGACTGCAAAACCATCGCACAGATATGCAAATCCAGTGTCAGTTTTTTTTTTTTCATATCCAATAAGCTGAACCTGGTCCAAAGCTTGAGTCAAGTGGCCTGTTGTAGCCCTTCTTCGGGTGAGTCAATCGATGCCTCGTGTGGCTCTGCGAAGCTGTGGCTAAAGAACACCCACGCAAATGGAAACCGGTACCTCAGTCTGCACAGGAGGATCGACTCAGCAACGCCCGGCATGGTCCAAAAGGCCAAAGGATATATAAACTGCTGTGATTCCGGGTCTCGTTTAATATCACAATTGCTTCCCTTAGGGTTCTAGGCATCAGGTTTAGGGTTTAGGGCTTAGGGTTTAGGGCTTAGGGCTCAGGGTTTAGAGTTCCTGTATTCGGATGTTAGAATGGCGAGAGGGTGAGGGGAACATAAAAAAGAGGGACGGGGGAAACATAAAAACTACAGCAGTGAGGATATCCTCTGAAGGCTGATACAACTCCAGAGTCCAGACATGAAGAGGAGGGATGACACTGCCAGCATCAGATCCATTAAATTTCACTTGGCGTACGATCGTCTTCACCCAAATAGAACGCCTGGTACTTATCGCCGTATCTGGGCTGAAAGTTGTGCCAAACACAGCTATAACGACCGGGCGTTCTATTCGGGTGAAGACGATAGCCACCGACGTGCTGGGAATTTGAGCCATTGTTACAAAATGTCCGCGGTTCAAATCAGATGACGCCCAGGATGGGCTAGAAACAGCAAAGGATAATTATATGTACTACGTCAAAAAGAGGTCTTTCGGAACAATGGGTAGCCCAGAAAAGTAACACTTGTCTTATGAGAGCAGAACAGAAAACACAGCCTCACTGCAAATCATCTATTTAACTCTCTTGATATATATTTGGCGAGAATGCAAAATGGGAACAAAAAAGAAGATGCAATCAGACTCGTTTCATTCACACTTTTCATGCACGTGAACAGCAGCACAGCAAACTGGCGACATGCGCCCACACAGTACTCAGAGATATGGATTCCATGTAAGAGTTCACTTCCACTGGCTATGGCAACTCAGCGCCTAACAACCCACTGTTCACACACACCGGATCACCCTGGATATCTCACACGCGACACACCGAACACTCACACAACTCACACACACTTCGCCCTAAGCTACAGCTATGGCAGCGCTAGCTGCCTCTACCCTAGCGCTATGGCTACACTTCATCACTCTCGCCCACTTCGGCCTCGGGCGCTACTGCAGACCTCCTCACACAAGACGCTGAGACAGCGCTTCCGCATGGCTTCCGCATGAATGAATGAATGGCTGTGCGCGGCCTCTTGATTTATACTTATGTGACTCGTTGGTCTGCCCTGTTTCCCTGGCCCACGGTGTACACAGTCCCAGACGGTACTTGCTTGACTGGACCGGACTGACTGGACTGGGACTGCTGACTCTGCACGGTGGACCTCCACCACTTGCCCACTTGCCTCGACCTACAGTGGGCTGACTCTCCGAAAGGCCACTTCTAGAAACATCAACTTGGCCTTTCGGTACTGTAGCAGCTACGACTCTGCCCTTTCAGGTAAGTAGCAGCTACGACTTTGACCCTTCGGAAAGTCTACAGCTAAGACCTCTGGACTGTCTAGACTCCTACCCGACAGGTCTACAGTTCGAATCCCCTATACCCTATAACCTACAATGTCCTTCCTACCACTGGCGGTCCTACAGGTCGCAGGTTCAACTCTACGGGTTGACACAGGTACTGTACACAGGTAAGGTGGGGACCTAGGGATCGAGCCCCGGAATCTGCATCAGCTACTGCGATCTGGTGAATACCGTTTCAAAGAGATAACAGCACAGCAATTCCTCGAGTAAATGCAAGCTTTCCGGTTGGCCTCAGAAATTGAAATACACCTTCACTGCCCACCTTGCTAGGAGAGGGGTTAGATTTGATTCACCCGATCAGATTTCGCGCAGCGGGCCTAGCCGGGCCGAGCGTGCGGTAGCAGGTGATGGCGATAGTGGTCTTCGGGTAGGAGGCGCATGCAGAGGGGAGACAGAGTGTGATGAGGGGAGGAGAGAGAACGTACCTGGTGTATGCTGGCAGTCTGCATTGGTGATGACGTCACGTACATTGGTCTTCAACTTCGCTGTGATCTGGTTGCATGAACGTAGATAGGTGTAGATAGGCTGGGTAGTGTAGTTCAGTAGGAGCAACATTTGATACTGTGTTGGTGTGGCCACAGTGCGTCGACATTGACATACGAGTGCATTGTATTCCTCTTGTGTGGATGGTATCTTGGTGCATTGTGCTCTCTGCTTGGTACATGACTATTTGTGCTACTTTGTGATTTTGCAGTTGGGATTTATGTCTATTGCTCTCACTCATATTCCTTGCAATTTGGTAGCGGAGCTGGTCCGATATCGCCGTTACCGGTGCTGGTGACATTGTTACTTGGTGTGCTGACGAAGCTTCCCCGCAGTAAGGATACATCGGCGCTGGCTTGATGAGCGACTCCTGGGTAAAGGGGATTGTCGCTGGAAGGCTGTGGCGACAGCGTGGGAGCAACATCGGATGTATGTGGAATGATGAGAGCATGCTAACATTGCATTTTGGCCGAGGTGGCACTTCATCGCATTATGTGTGGTACCAAGGCTATGACCGGTCATCAAAATGCATGTCGGCTCAATTGGTGAGAAATCTGAGGTTGGGGGCAGCTAACTTAAGGTACATTGTTCCCTTACCTCATCCCATCTCAATCTCTTGTTACCGTGAGGAAGTGAGTTCAACATGAGTCTCCTCTTCTGGTTCAGGAGTCGTGAGCGCTCTACCTTGAGAGTCGACATTCTTCTTGGTGGCACATCTGGCAGGAGAGGGTGGTGCCTCTGAAGGGCCCTGGACGAATCATGGGTCACGGTCACCATGCCAACCCACGGGAGTAGTGCACGCAGGCCATGCTGCATTGTCCTTTGAGCTCTTTGCTGCACTGTAAAGAGGGTCGTGGACTGACCAGTCCTATGTGGTGGAGACGCGTACTAGACCGTCTATAAAGAACCTTTGGTGGGGAAACCGACATCCGCTGTGATCGTCGTCCTGTCTGCGACGTTCAATAATTCCTGAGGACTTCGGAGGTTGTCCTTAAATTGCCTCTTGATCAGCAAGACTGTGGGTGCAAGGCTCGTTGCACGTGAGGATAAAGAAAGTGCAGGGCTGGTCATAAACAGGTTCCTGGGCATAGGGGTGGGCCGATATGCACACCTTCGACACCGCTGCTTGATGATGCAACACAGGATCATTGGATACAGGGGAGGGAAGGTTCCAGTTGGTTCTCGAAGGCATTCAATATTATTTCCATTTCTGCGTACATCTGCGCAACTGATTTATTTTATTTTTGACTAGTTATGGTGGACAGGCTGCTAACACCTGGCAGACAGCTATACAGTAGAACAGTAGTAGTCTATCATTGTCTGTTCTATAAATAGTTGCTGTTTGAGAAATTATTGAAGTAGGAATGGGTCATTCGCTCAGTCTTTTTAGATATCGTTGACACCACTTGATCGGTGGCCCGAGTGACTTGCCGAATATTTAATTATTTTTATTCATTTTACAAATTGGGTAGACACAAACTGTGGTAGGCCCCAGTGAGGGCACTAGTGCAGACAGTGCTCTGCTTAGCCAATGAGCGGACAGGTAGTGGGGAGGACAGATCTGAAGGGAGAAGGGTGACACGTCAGAAATCTCTTAGGATCCCCATCATGCACCAGGCTTTACCACCTGAGGGCAAGAGAGCTATACGACGGGAGGTAGCGGCCGAACGTTTGCAAAGGGCTAGGGAAGCAGCAGCAGCAGCGGCAGCAGAGCAAGTACTGGCAGCCGCAGCAGCCACTGCTGGAGCTATGGCTACCTTTGCTGCTACCTCTCAGGGTCAGCAGACATTAGGCATGCCGACCAGTTTGCAGGCTACGTCTAGGGGGATGAGTTCAAGCACTTCTTTTAGTCAGATGGCGGGCTCGCAGTACAGCCAGCCACATATGCCCACCAGGGCGGCATTAGAACTTCAGCAGGTGGAGTTGGTCCGTTCACGGTTAGAAAAGGAACTTAGAGAATCTACTGAAAGAGAAACTGAGATTAGAAATAGAAAAGCCAGATTA